TGAATACTGAAGAATATATTGTCTCGTAAACACAATACTCCGGTCGGTATTGAGACTATTCTTTTTAATTAGTACTCTACCCTACGTATAAATGTGCAATGTGAGTGAGGTGAATTTTACTTGGGCAGCACCTTTCCGCTTATTCATCGATTAGTCCTTATCCGTGCATGTGTAAACGAGGGAATCTTGGGTTTTCATCCCCCGACAACGATCTGTTTTTTTAACTAACAAAGTGTGTACTGGAGCACTCGGACAAAACCCACGAGGTTTAGGGAGACCCTATTCCTTATAACGTGTGGCTGGCACCGGCCTACAGATCATTCGTTGCCTTCATCTTTATAAATATCAAATGCTTATTCATATAAATACAGATAATTAAGCCGCCAGCTAAGCCCCCAATACATGTAATCTTTTTGATATCAGCCCTATCTTCAGTTTTTTTCTGTACTCTACTGACCACCAAATTTACATTCAACGTCACGACTATGTCTGCGACAAGTAGTACACGGTATTGTTATTTTTTTAATCTCCACCCTGTTTAATTTGCCGTATGTTCGTTTAGAGTCAGTGGTTGGTACAAGAATTGGGATACAACAAATGGAAAGCAGGAGCAAAGAATTAGAGAATTCTGATCAGTTGATACATTGAGTGTTTCAATGCCCAATAACCAATTCTGCTTTGATCATTGTTTCCCCTTGTCGGCTTCTGGAAGTGTGTAACGTTAATTTCTACAGTATCGATAAGCTATAATGTCTGATTTAATACCATTAAAAGGTCAATTTCATTTAGAATGTATATCAGTAATAGGTAAAAAGCAACCCAAGGGACTATAAACTGGATAGATTACAGTTTATTACCAGAATGATGTCTGTAGTGTTTTCTACATTTGATACCCCGATTGTATTTCCCCTGGCAATGTTTTTATGTTTTAATGATTTTAGTGGTTCAGTAATTTTAATATACCCTAAAGGTATCAAGCGGAGATAGATGTATAAAGGCATGATATCTTATTTTGTTCATTGTTCCTTATTATATTTTGATCAGATTATTGCATTGTATTATAATCTATATTAATGTTTATTGTGTTTAATGACTGAAGCCACAGTGACTCAGTGAGGATGGTTCGATACAATGGTTGTCCGATCTCGATGTTGGCCGACAAAGTTCCTCGAGTATTTTCTAGAGTGGTATAGGATGGAACAGAAACGAGGTCTTATGCACTTAAAGTACTTTGGCAATTGGAATTCGACGAAGAGTATAGCTGGAAACGTGGCTATTCGGACAAAATTTCTCCCATAGCAGACTGCAAGACGCATGTCCGTCTTCGTTGTTGGTGCAGAAAAGTAGGACGTTAGACCCCATTCCATTTGTATTTTATGACATTAAAAATCATTCTATTAGTATCCAAACTTACAAAATGTCAAACAAAGCTTCAACAGTAGCCTAATGATGCATTAAGAGATAATTCTGTCTATTTCAGACCTTTCTTTTGGCCTCAAATGTTATGTAACTTATTACTTAGATATTATTTACATGGCAGGCCCACAATAAACTCTCTAGAACATCGGATGGCTGTGATTTTTAACCTATTGAAACACGATCGCCATTTGATAATTTAAGTGGAAAATCGAGACTTTGTCTTTTCAAACAGTTATAACGTCGCTCAGAATGAAGTAATTTGACAGTTATTTTCAATATATTCCTCTTTCATTATCTATTTTTAAACTATTATAGCGAGAACTGTAAAGTATGGATCTAAAACTTACATATAAGTTCTTTACGATTACATTTTTGTTTCTAAAGGGTAAGAGTAAGTCTGTTTGTTTTCTAATGATTGTTTAATATTTGGATTACTGTGTCGACAAGATGTATTTGCTACAACCCCTATTGTATTTGTAACAAATGTAATAATTGTAATAAATTTAGTTCAACCGCTATTGAAATATTTACCCATATTGTAATAAATGTAATAATTCTTATGAAATTTATCTTTACCCTCATTGTAACACTAACCATTTTTGTAATTTTAATTAATGAAAAATCAACGTCTAAGCATACACCATTTCTATATATGTATTATGCTTTTCACAGTATATAATATTTTAAAACAACACACATTTAACAGATTTAAATGTGATTTCTACAGTAGGGCAACTTATAACATTAGAGGTCGTACTTTATTCTTCCTAATGGCACATCAACCGGTATCGTAATAAATGTCAATTTTTGCGATCGCGACACGTATACTAATGAATATAAAATGGATACCCGAAAACACGTCGTCTTCTTCTTACTTTGTGGCATTCTTCGTCGTTTCTTTGTACATATCAGATAATGATTATATTTTAAACTACATCCATTATAATATAACCTGTATTGTAGTTGAATAAATTATTACGATAGGGTCTGTGCTGTCTTAATCCCGGATATGATGTAATGTCAAGCTATTAGATAATTATTTATGTTAATTTTGCGAACTTGTGAGACTTATTTTAATAAATATGAAATACTGTCTCTGTAAACCACGCCGTCTTCATCATACTTCATTTGAAGGGGAATTTGAATAAAAACACTGGAATATGGCAGCGTATACAGGTTAATTGCGCAATAATTACCACTGTGATCGTTGCGATGATTTTACCCTCAGAAAATACCATATTGTCTAGTTAATTGAACCAACGCGCTATGGTGTATTTCGTTATTACGTTTTAAATGTGCACATTTAACTGGCGGAAATCTCTAACTCGGTTTGCTCTATGCTCTCGAGCATTATTTTTAAGGCTAATCGCCAGTGCGTAATTGAAATATCAAACCGTACTGCAGTTTGCACAGCTGGCGTATTTCGACGTCCAAAACTGATTAGAAATTACAAATATAGCCATAGACCGGAGGCTCAGTGTGTGTGTGTGTGTGGGGGGGGGGATCAAATGGGCACAAAACCAGACCCAACTTTTCTAGAGTAAAATTTTGCGTAGAATACGATGCCGAGTGGAAATCAGTCCGTCGTTGGGACGTTTTCGAGATATTCGGGGTCAAAGGTGAAAAGAAGTCATTTGCACTGAAAGTAAATGCGCAATCATTCTTATATATCATGAAAACATGCTGAAAATGATTCAATAAAAATGTAAACTTGCTAAATTCACCTTTGTTCTTTGTGACCCCGGAGGTCAAAAGTTCCAATTTCCGTTTTTGCACTCGGAAGATTTAAAGCAATAAATATCAGCGTAAAATATAAAAACTAAAGCGAAATCTGTTCTAATTAAAATAGGAACATTTAAAACTTATCTTTAGGTGGTCTTAGCACCGTATATTTACTTTGGAACAACGAAAAACAGAACCAAAACACTTCGAAACCTGTTCCGAAAACATGTAAAAACTGTCAAATCGAAATCACCCCGATTTAGTTTAACAACGATTGTTATACATAATGAAACTTGTTGTCGGAAAAACAATTGAATAGTTCCATGGTTGGACTCCAAGTTACAGGAATTCGAGTTACACCCCAAACGATTAGAAATCGGCTATATTCAGCCCATTTGCACGCGCGACGACCGCGTGTTGTGCCCCCATTAACTCGCCAGCACATGGCAAACAGGCGTTAATGGTGTAGGCTGTGTAGAAATTGGTGCAATCGTCGATGGGCGCGTGTAATGTTCTCAGATGAGTCCAGATTTACTCTGGATATCATCGATAGGCGTGTAAATGGGCGTCATGCTAACGTTAACATCAGACAGCATGACAGATTCGGGAGTGGGTCTGTTATGGTGTGGGGAGGAATCACTATGATTGGCAGAACGGACTTGCATATTTTTGAAGGAAGGGCCACTGGTGTGTACTACCGTGACCACATCCTGGCACCGATAGTTCTGCCCTTTGCTCAACGTGCAGGTCGACGTTTCAAGATGATAATGCCCGTGTCCACCGCGCTCGTGTCGTGAATGACTACCTCCAGCGTCACCATATTGAGTTGATTTTGACTTGTATACCGCCTTGTCGCCTCACATTTTGTCGTAACTTCTACATTTCGACTTTTCGACTTTCGCCTTCTGAAGAGGCGAAAAGTAGAAATTATGAATGGTAGTTATAGGCTTCCATAGTGAAGTGTTACGTAGTGCGCTTCGTTATTCTATTTCGGGTCTGTTCCTTAATTGAAAACCATGGAAGTTGGCAAAAAAACTTTTTGTTGGCACACTGTGTCTGCCGTTGGGTGGAAATATTTAATCATCTTCTTAAAAGGTATGAATTGTAATTTTGTCAGTGTCATTTCGTGTGAAATAAAATCGCCGATGGCCGAATGGGTAGCACGTGCGCCTGTATCATAAGGTCTGTCATTGAGTCAACTTGCGTGGTTTCGATTCCCCGGTTGTACGTGACAAAGAATAGGTTACCTCCCACTGCTAAGGACACCTACGCGCAAGCGAATTATTGAAATATAATTGCATCATGTGTTAGTCGCGAAATGACCTAGTTTGTCTCGAGTTAAATCTTCTCTCTCTCTCTGGATGTTGTTCCATGCGTCAGGCGAGATTAGAATGTCTTTGCTGATGTAATGTTAAAATGGTGTTAATCTGAATCTGCAGTTCAGATCTATGTCCTGTTGACTTGTCATGTTATGAGATTGATATATTGTCTTTAAACATTGTCATCGAAGAATATTGTTCTGATATTTAGAAAATTATTCAGCAAACCTATCGGGTTTTTTTAGCAGCCAAAGTATGTCTAGTTAGCAGCAGCGACAATGATAAAAAAAATAATACCAAAGCAATTTCTATTTTAGAGTTTGGCACAGATGGCCCACCACTTGCTATGTTTTAAATTACTAAACACCCTAATAACTGTCCGTAGGATAATTAAAGTGATTTGATATTTTTCTGTAATGTCAGTTGTGAATTTAAATTTATTGAACACCTGAAGTTGCGATATTGCCTGGTGTACTTAACGTTATAAAAGTATAAAACTGTCACAAAAGAATAGGAAAATTATAAGCCGAGACTGATTAAGGTAAGATAAACCATACACTTCTAAATTGTAGAAATTTTATACCGTTATTTTATAAATGGTTCTTATATACTAAACTTACTGCGTTTTCAATGTTTTAAATATATAATATTGAATTCTTATAATTCCAAAATAAATGAAATAAAATATCAACCATAAATTATTTGTTGATTCACGCGTCTTTGGTGGCGACCGTGGAAGTTCTTATTATTTAGAATTGTAGAAGAAACCAAATACATCTATTGATACGACTGCGAGAATGAACAGTAGCACATTATTTCTGAAATCCACTAAAATTATATCTTCTTTGCAGATGGCGAAAATTATGTTTACTCTTTTAATGGTGATACTGATGTTATGCATCATTTCTGACGAAATATCAGCTAAATATTTTTTAGACTGGCATCGTCACGATGCACCCAGATCACCATCACCTAGTAGAGGAGGGCGTAGAAGCTGGAAGAAACGGGATATCGTAGAACACATAGATGATGTGGAGAAGATCCAACGATATGTACATGACGGAATGGAAGATCCTTAAAGAACAATATTAACAGGCAAATGTACTCCAACGAGAGTAAGTTACGCATCAGTTTTATACCCGTAATTCCTTTGCTTCCTGACAATGCATTGGATTTTGTGGCGGTTCATGATTAAAGGTTTACCCATTTCTAAAACTCTGAGTCCCAAACTTCGAGGAATCGATACCATTAGAGAAAAATCAAACGAATTCTTGTCTAATTATTTATAGGAAACAATTGGTCATTTCTGCGGGATTCCTTTTGTTTTACTTTAAAATCAATTCAAAATGAAATTATTAGGTAAAACGTCATATCACGTGACGCGTGTCAGCTAATCAAATTACCAAAAGCATCTGCCTGTCTGCACTGCTGACATAGATAAACATCAAAAGAAAAAGATAATAAAGATTTTAATGACAGAAATTACAAGGAATCGATATATCTATTAATTAGAAAACTATCGACTATTTCATTGCATGGGGTAGGTCCAAAACTGGGCTCACCAATAGGTGCACATTCGAATGGAACGAAAAACACAATCGCGTGCAAGTGAGAATTCAATAAAGAGTAAGCGGAACCGCCACTGTCTGGGTAAAATGCTCGCATTATAGACGTAAGCATGAAAATTTCCATGATCGGAATGTATTGTGTTGACTCCATTCCATTCATGTTACTATCGTCGCGATTTAATATTTTTATGCATTATATAAAAGTTAATGTACTATTTGTTCCATGTCCCATGGGGTATGTCTATTATTAGACGTGGAGCCACGGTGGCTAAGTTAGTAAGACGCTGGCTCGCTAGTCTGGAGGTCTCGGGTTCGCTCCCGGTGTTGACGGAGAAAGTTCATCAGGATTTTCTGGCGTGGTTTACCTTTGCTAGTGGTGCAGGATGGAGGGCCTGACAAGGACAGCTGTCTACTCGTGCACATGAGACGAAAAATCGAGGTCCCGTATACACATTGGCGTGCACGTAAAAGATCCCTTGGCAGTTGGAATTCGATATAAGGGTAGGCCGTAGCGCCGCTGTCGCTATCGCTCCGACAGGTCTACTGCAGACAACATTATCAGACTGCAACTTGATATATCTAAGGCATTTACAGCCAAAGTGCAATATTTTTTGACCTGCCTAAAGCTTTTGACCTAGTGTGGGTGTACGATCTTTTGCACAAGCTCCACAACGTAGAAATAAAACGCCGAATGTATAGGTGGATAGAAGATTTTCTGAAAAATAAGCATGAAATTGAGGTTAACCTCTAACTGCTCTGCACCAATCTCATTAAAATCTAATCGTTTCGTTTTTATAGTTCACAATTTCGTTTTACTTGTCTTTACTACACTAGGATCTGGAATAGTTGTTATATAACCCACGTTTTAAATGATTTGAGGGATTGGCCAATAAAACGTTCGTTGCGGCTAGATTTTGGCTTGCGCTGGGTGAACAGTGGCTAACCCACTAGAAACATCAACGTTGATTGGTTAATCAAATGTCTGACGTCATAGGTCAAAAGCCGCTAGTATGGCCTTTGACGCCACCTTCCACTACAACTGGTCAGATCTTCATCTAGTAGAGGCCATCGAAAGTATAAAAAACGAAACGAAATATAGATCTTCGTTTTATTCAGACTGGCTCTACATCGACCGGGCCAATGAAGACGGGCATGCACCAGTGTGCTGAGGGAAATTTTGCCCGTACAGCGGTACTACGGCCTCCTTTTATATCGAATTCCAGCTGTCAAGGATTCTTTTACGTGCACACAGGGCGTCGGTTTTCAGGGGGAGCCAAGCCGGAAAATTCTAATGAACTTTTTTTGTCAACACAGTGATCGAGCCAATTCTTACTCAAGGAGCCACCGTGACTCCTATTCATGTTATAAAATATTCGATTATTTTCATATCTTCTTTTAGGTACCAGTGAATGTGTAAGATGAAGCTGACTAAAAAACATAATGCAGACATTTCTGATATATTATTGTTTATTTGAAGAGTTACTAAACAACTTAAAATGGTACTATTTGCATTTTCTTGAATATTTTTTAGTGTTTCCGTGGTCGAATGGTCTACGATCATAAGGTCTGTCAAAGGGTCGAGTTGCGCGATTTCAATTCCCAGCTAGTGTATGCGAAAATAGAGCGGGAGCCCAGCGGGGTCAACCTAGCCGAAAAGTGTACACATTTTCTGCTATATGGTATCAATGCATGCATATCGGGTATCATCAGAAAGTGAGTCTATCTGGTGTCTGTTGGTGGGTGTGATATTCAACGCCCAAAATGCCATGCCCCCAACTAGGTTAGATTAGCTCAAAAGTGTACTACATGAAAATCGTACAGCGATGTACCGTATATCTTCAGATTTTACAAAAACACTCTGACAGACATTTCTAGTGGTGGGGTGACGGACACAGATCACCAAATATTTCTACGAATGTAGGGCGAAAGTTATTTTTAGTCTTTCTCTCCCTTTCCCTACAAGAGTAGAGAGGTTGGTTGAAATGTAGGACCGAAAATGGCATGTTTACTTGTCTCTACTTCCAGTTTGTGTATTTTCATGGTAAACCTCATACATGCTTTTGGACAAGAGTTTGCCACATGTTGCTCCATATGTGGCAGAAAGTGTTCTACCCAACGAAAATTTGGGAAAATTAACATTCAAGTCAATGGGGAAATATTTAGTGATCTGTGGCCAGACATATGTAGTGGTGGAGTATCCCTGACAAGAGTTATCTACTTTCCAGCTAGGCTAGATTAGCTAAATCTGTACCACCCAAAACTGCGTTCGAGTACTTCTTTGATTGGCATTTAGTAATTGAACATATCAACACAGGGTACAGGTTTATGGATACACAATTACTGAGTTTAATACTAAGCGACGTTTCGACGAGGATACTAAGCGACGTTGCGACGAGGATACTCTCGTCTTTATCATTTGCTGGATAAAGACGGGTGTATCCTCGTCGAAACGTCGCTTAGTATTACATGTAAAGTCAGTAATTGTGTATCCATAATTGTGTTACGTTGGAGTTGTTCAGTACCACCGCAGATATTTGTAGGGGGGGGGGGGGTATACCTGTCAAGAGTTATCTAATTTCCAGATCACAGCTGGGCTAGATTAGCTGAAATCTGTACCACCTAAAACAGCTTTGGAATTGTTCAGTAGCACCATAGGACCACTGCCGGACTGTTTGTGCGGTGGGTTACCCTTAACAGACACGCCCAAAATACCACGGCCCCCAGCTAGGATAGATTAGCTGGTACCCCACCACTAGAAATGTCTGTCAGAATGTTTTTGTAATACCTGAAGATGTACGGTACACTGCTGTACGATTTTCATGTGGTACACTTTTGAGCTAATCTAGCTTAGTTTGAGGCATGGCATTTTAGGTGTGGAATACCACACTCACCACCAGATACCCGGCAAAGTTACATTCCGATGATACCAGATATGCATGCATTGATACTATTCAAAAAAAGTAGGGGATATTTGATTTTTAAGTGTTATTAAAGTCACCTAATGAAACTGACGAAGAAACAAATGACAAAATGAAATGAAGTTCACATTCATCGATTTATTCCAAATGATCGTTAGACTAAGTAAGGCACAGACTGACCATTATAAGGGTAAAATGATACCCGGGGTCAAACAGCAAAGTTACCACAGCATCACAACCAAGTCAGTAACGGGTAAATCCTCCTCTGTTTGCCAAACAAGCATTGATCCGACGTGGCATACTCCTAATGAGACGTCTAAGGTCATTTTGGTCCAGATTGTCCCATTCCTGTTGCAACGCAGCAGCAAGTTCTTGGACATTGGCAGGACGTTGTTGACGTTGACGTAACCTCTGTCCAAGCATGTCCCAGACATGCTCGATGGGGGAGAGGTCGGGACTCAGTGCTGGCCAAGGTAATGTGGTGATGTTCTGTTGTTGGAGGTAACCTGTAACGATCCTGGCCCTGTGACATCTTGCGTTGTCATCCTGGAAGATGAAACGGCGGCCATGACGTCGTGCGAACGGCACAACATGGACTGCCGAGATGTTGTCCCGGTAGTACTGGCCTGTAACACGCCCTGCAACAACATGTAAAGCCCTTCTTCCAGCAACAGTGATGCCTCCCCACACCATAACAGAACCACCCCCAAATCGATCATGTCTGATGACGTTAACGTCTTGGAAGCGCTCGTTTCGACGACGCCACACCCTCCTACGTCTGTCCAAAAAATCAACAGTGAACCTTGATTCATCTGAAAACATCACATTGCTCCAGCGTCGATTATCCCAGTGTTGACGATCCCTACACCAACGACGTCTTGCCTGAATGTGATGATCTCTCAAACAAGGGATCACGCGAGGACGTCGGGCGCGAAGGTGACCCCTATGCAGTCGATTCCGAATCGTCTGGCCACTCACTCTCACACCAGTGTCTGTTTGAAGACGAGCGCTGATCTGATTTGCTGTGATGACACGATTTCTCAAGGCCAAGGTACGGATAAATCGATCCTGGGCTTGAGTTGTCGCCCTTGGTCGACCTGAGCGTGGTCTGTCCTGTACAGATTGTGTATCACGGTATCTGGACCATAGCCTGCTTATGACAGACTGAGAAACATTCATCGTCCGCGCCACAACCGCCTGTGTTGTGCCGATCTGTAGCATGCCAAGGGCACGTAACCTTTCATTTTGGGTAAGCCGACGCATATCAAAATTTGTTTTCTGGTCACTAAAACAATTAAACTGATGTTTCCACCCTGGAATTCAATGCCACAATGACTGTAACATTCAAAGTCAGAGTCGTGCAAATCTTGGGTTGGACCCCCATGATGATCCCAAGCACCACCTGCATTCCATGCGGTAGCTATTGGTGCGTTTGGGCGTCACATGTAACTGGAAATGTTTCTTCTGTTAGGTTCTATAGTGACTTTTTTCGTAGTCATTTGCATATTTTAGTATTATGCCCCCAAAATCAAATATCCCCTACTTTTTTTGAATAGTATATATAGGGGGGAATTGGTACACGAGGAGTAGGATCGCCTGCCTAACGTCGTTGGGTTTCTTCAAATCCCCCGGCTTCTTCCCGCCTACGCAAAAGAGAATTGTTGAAACTGAGTTAACCATATTTTAGTCACCCTAATTTGTGTTGAGTTAATGTTACCTCCCCCCCCCCCTCACACACACACCACCACCACCACCACCCCTCTCTCTCTCTCTCTCTCTCTCTCGAACGAATATTGTTACACATATTCGAAGTGCCAAACCAATCAGTGTACTCTGCTGAATTGAGGCTTGTAGATATGAAGTAGTCCATAGCCTTTTTTGTCTTTTTTTACTTTCACTAAATCATTGACTTTGCCTTTGCTATTGGGAAGGGGTTCGTACAACAAAATGACAAAACTCCCGTAAGAAGACTTCAGATCAGTATTGTTCTGTTCCGACTGGGCTAATGAAACAGGCGTACGCCATACTGTCTGCTATGACGGAAAATTTGTCCGGACAGTGGCGCTACGGCTTAATCGTATATCGAATTCCAGCTGCCAAGGGATATTTTAAGTGCACGCCAATATGTGCACAAGACCTCGTTTTTTTGTCCCATCCCAACGTCTAGACAGCTGTCATTGTCCTGCCCTCCGTCCTGCACCACTGACAAGGGGAAACCACGCCGGAAAAGTCAATTATACATATAAATTCTAGTAAAAGTATGCTCGCGCTTTGTAATGTATATCTCTGTTCAAAACAAAGTCTGTATTTTCTTCAGAATATTCAGAAAATATAGGATTAAACAACTGACTTTGGGATACATCTCATTTATCTTTTGTGTTGTATTCTATAGAATTATATGTGTGAATTTCGCATCTCTGGTTATGTGATTGAATTCCATTTCCTGTAGTATTCTATAGAATTCTATAAAATCTCACAAAATGCGTAGCGAAGTTAAAAAAAAACAACTAATGAAAATGACACTTTCCATGGTCCAAGCAAGATTTTGGGTACACGTAGGCACTAATCACACAAGAATCGCTGTGTTGAATCTGTTTTGTGTCTATGACTAATAGGAGCAACGGTGACTCAGTTGGTAGGACGTTGGCTCGCGAACCTAGAGATCCCGTTTTCGATCCAGGTGTTGTCCTAGCAAGATCATCGGGATTTTCCGGTGCGGTTCCCCGTTGTCAATGATGCAGGATAGAGGGCCTGACAGGGAACAACGCATTAGTGTGCACTTAAAAGAACCCTTGGCAGTTAGAATTCGATATCAGAGTAGACCGTAGTTCCGCTGTCCGGGCAAAATTCCCCTCATAGCACGATGTATGGCGTATGCTAGTCTTAGTTAGCCCAGTCGGAGCAGAGCAGTGGGGCGTTAAACGCCATTTCATTTCATTTCTATGATTAACAATATAGCATCCTGACAAAGCACAATTAGCCTAATGTGAGCCTAATGTCAAACACCTGTGATAATATTACAAGTTACATATAACTAACTATAAGAATGCGGAGGAGTCAAATGTCTAATACAACACCCGAAAGACATCATTGTTGTCTTGTGTTGGTTGACGTTCAATTGCCTTTTACATCGATAAAATAAATTACATTTGTATTCGATTCATTAAATATTATGTAAATTGAATATAACTGTATATGTATTTTGAAGATAATCCTACGTGACTTTATTATAAACCCACCGCCTTATAATTACGTCTATCCATTCTATCGGTTTGCGGTTCTGCTTTTGATATATCTAATTATAGCTAATGATGATGCATTTTTGGAATATCATATTTGGTGATCCGTTTTTGTAACAACATTTTTTTTATAAATTCTGGTATATTCGAAAATTATCATCGCTTCAGCAATTTTAAATTAAATCCTTAAATGTCTGAACCGTTTCAATCTAGTTCAAATCTCGAGCCTCCAATGGCATTGATAGTTGCAGTAGGACGTGTGGTACTGAGCGCCATGGAAAACGCATCACTTTTTTTCCCAAATATTTTATTACTAGGTGGTTTTGTATGTATAATATTATGCAA